CACACACACACCGGGTCGTCGCAATATGCGTTTTCGCATTTGCATATTATGCAAAAACGCATAAAAGTCATCTTTACACCTGTGCCTATCTCAGTACATATTTTAACTTTTGAATGTAGAAAACTGAACTTTTTCAACAAAATTTTCTACAGTGAACGAAATCTCGAGCCAGAAGCCATTTTTCAAGTTACTCTTCGTCCTCATTTCTGGCATCAACTAAGATCCACAAATTTCGAGTTCCTAGTTTCTCCCGTTCTGTAATTTCAAAATTATCCCAAATTTGAATCTGAGATCGTTGATCATGGTAGAGCAAAGCTTGAGATCTCATATCATTTACTCCGTATCAGTTGATTGTTGAGTCAGCCTCCCAAAACTTACAGTTCGAAGTTTTTGGCTGTCAAGTTATAAAATTAGAGCATAAATTACACTTGAAAAAAAATACAGCTGAATTAACAAGTCACGCCTGACGCGAGATGCCAGTTGATTTCAGATGCATGATCCTGCTCGTGATTAAGGACTACGTGGGCAATTTTTCAACCTCTTAGCTTTGGTAATTCTGAAGTCGAACTGATCTCGCCCTAATATGTTTTCATTACCTAGTTAGTGAAAATGATAGGTGCTGGCTGACAATGGATTTTTTAGATGATCAAAATCGTTGCTCTCGGATTCTACGGCTCAGCCGCTTATCTTTCCGATACTTGGAATCGCCTTGATTTTTTTATCGTTTGTGCTGGGTAATGCTTTCATTTGTATGCTGTTCTGATCGGTAAAAATGGCCGAATTAATTTGGCCTCCTTGTGTTCGTGAAATGTAGTTATACACAAATGTTGTAATAACAGTAATAGTGTTAAAGTAATACCGGTTTCTTTAGAATTTGAGCTTCAACATAATTTTTTTCAAACAGGGTATTTGTTTTTGCTATTCCCTTTGCTTCCCTTTTGCCGGCCAGCAAGTGGTTTTTTTTTTTGTCTAATTCAGGGTTAATTTTGCCGTATAAAAGGTTCACTATAGTAATATGTTTTGTCAAAAATAAGAAGGAAAATTTTATATGTATTCAAAAATGTGAATTAAGACGTCAGTGTTGCCATTAGCGTCATATTTTCACTATGGCAGTGGTACAGGTGTGGAGCAGCCAAGTTCTGTTGAAGCTCTATCAGCAAATTTCATCTCGCAGCAAGCTGCACCTAAAATAGAAAAATAGCGGCGCACACCCAGCTAACCGGTGCGGTCGTGTGTTTTGTGCAGTTCTGTCCAGCAGATGTTTGCCTGCTAAGGATTTTTACAGCGAAGTGTCGTCTGGTTCCTAAGCTGTGAAATTTCTCACTAAAAATTCCATATGCTGGTATGTGAAAACTGAATTTGAAACCTTGGACTGGTAAAATCCTTCCAAATTTCAGTCTCCACTTCTCCGGCTTCTGAGTCAGTGATTTTCTCATCAAAACACTCATGTGGTCGTGCGTAAGACCTCGGCATACTTAGGAGCTAATTCTGAGTTTGTGAGGTCTATGCACGGGCAGAAAATATCTTCATGAAATTTCAGCCTCACAGCTCTTCTGGTTTCCGAGATGATAATTTTCCCCACCAATACTTTCGCGGGGCCACACAAGAGACACAGGCCTACGTGAAAGCCGAATTTGATTCTGCGAGGTAGCATTCTCCCAAAATTTCAGTTCGTAATTTTTCCCGCCGAAACTTTCACGGGAGAGTAAATGAGACCGAGGCTTGACTCAGAACTGATTTTGAATTTACGGGGTCGTACATGGGTAGGAAACATTCTCGTCAAATTCCAGCTGCCTAACTTTCATGGTCCTTCGGATAATAATTTCCTGCCAAAACTTTCAGGGGGCGGTACGTGATACCTAAGTGCACAGATAGCTGAAATGAAAATTTCTAGGTCGCACTTGGGGGCATACCATAAAATTTCAGCTCCCTTGCTGATTTCCAAGATAATAATTTTCTCCATTAAAACTTTCGCGAGGCTGTACGTTTTGGCCGCGGACACAGGAAAGCTTAATTTAAATTTGCAGGGTCGCACGCAGGGAAGGAACACTTTGCTAAAATTTCAGCCGCCTAGCTTCTATGGTTCCCGAGTTGAAAGTGCGAGACAAAATGTATTCGGACAAACACACACAGAGACAACCCCGCGACAAAATGCGTTTTGTGCCTCTATTACACAGCGTAAAGCGCATAAAAAGACGCCGTCAGTTCGATATCAGTTTAATATTTTGAGATAAAATTTCAGGTGTGCTGAGTATTTGCTGCAAGAATACTTGGGTAATATTAACTTGACTGCTATACGAACAATTCGTGTGCTTCGTCCGTTACGTGCTGTAAATAGAATACCGTCCATGAGAATTCTTGGTTAATATTTGTTATCGTTGTTTGGGAAAAAAATCACTTTTATGCTGATAATGTAATATAAAATGATTACTTGTATCAGGATTATTTCAAAGTTGTCATTTATTATTATCTTTATTATTATTGGTAGCACAGTAATGATAATAGTAACGATAATAATAACAGTTATAATAGTGAGATCAACAATAATAATAATATCGAAAAAGTGGCGAGAATTGGCCAAGGGTATTCTGCTTCGAACCGGATAGCATAGCAGTTTTCGGCTTGCGAGCAGACACTAGTTACACCATTAATGTGGGATCGCCATGTGGACTGTGTAGACCGTCTTGGTATTTTTGGTATTGTTAACTGCCGAATGCATAGTTTTCCGATGGATCCAGCTGCAGACACCTATGGGATTCGACTGGAAGTGCAGCTTTCAAAAATTTATGTTTTGCTCAAAGAGATTCATAGACGAATATCTGCTGAAGAAGCACCTCTTAAATTCACCTGAATATTCTCGACAGAATTAGCTACCGTAATTGACTAAGCGGACTTGGTGAATAATGTGAAATTAAGGGTGAAAAATATCTATAGTGTCTTCCTGGCCCTTGGAGGTTTTGCTCTTGGCTAAATAGCTATAATTGTTTCGTTACGAATAAATATGATCAATCATTCAACGTTGTGTTTGTTTCTGTTATTAATACTGTTGTTGCAGTTAATTTGTTATTGGACACATTGCCGATGCTGGGTAACGTACTGTTGTTATGTTTCTTCGTATTTTTTATATTTGGAATTGTTGGTGTGCAGCTTTGGGCCGGGTTGCTCAGGTTCCTCTTTTTTT